TACTTATAATTGCTGCTTTGCGATGCTATTTAAGGAGTTTTTGGCTGAGACTTTGTACTTGGCTGTGTGCTTACGTTTTATACCATTGCTTAGCTAGGACAATAATGCTAAAACCGCTGGAGAAAAATTCTTTGTCAAAAATAGTCAAGTTTCTGCTCGACACTTTTTTGTTGGTCTTTACAGCTCAAATACGCACATGACTTTAAAAGTTACTTTAGAGACCATTCACTTCTTTCTGAAACTTTTCTGTTAGTCTTTTCGAATGATTATTGAAGAATTTTTGGCACTTTGCGCTTGTCCTTAGTTCATCTGTATTTTGCTTCAACTTTTTAAGAGGTAGAAAGATGCTTTGATATTATAAGTAAATGTCTTAAAAAAATACTTTTAGGGTTTATTGGAGGTTGAAATTGATCGCTTAGTTCCTTTTCTACCTATTGTACTTGGTCGCTTGCTTTCTCTCCTGCCTTCGTGTGCAACTGAGGATATGGCTATCACTGTGTTAACGTTAGACTTTAAAAGTTTTAAAATGGTTTTTGCTCCTTTTTTATTTATTATTTAAGGATAGTCTCTTTTCACTTAAATAGAAACCACAATTGGATGAAGATTTAATTTATATTCTCTTAGTACCCTGATCGGTATTGTGGACAGAACAGTGGCTGTAGGTCGAACGTCACTCTTGTGCTACTTTATCAAATATCAGTTTCAATCAACCGGGAAGTCAAGCGAAAGGGTTGGAGATGAAACTACGCATTCTGCCATCTGTAAATATGTGTCTCTGCTGGTATTGTTTTACTGATTGGACAAACTTTGTCTTCAAATTAACTTTATTTTTATCCTCGAATTACTCAGTTCTGCTTTATTACATTTTTTGTCTTTTTTTTCTGCTTTGATTAAACTACTAATGAATATTCCAATAGAATAAATATGTAGTATTTTTTGGGAAGTAACGATTTATTTTGATTTAGCTTAATTTTCTGTTTTTAGGCAACAAATGCTCAGGGTGACCTTGACGCCATAGCAGCTATATTCAGACAGCTTTGGTTTCTTCTTGACGTAGCAGTAAAAAGTATGGCAAAGCAACTGTTGGATAGAGAACTCTATAAGGTTAAAATATGAAGTTTCTTTTTAACAAAAAAAAGGATTCTGAAATTTTGGTGTTTGCATTTAAAAAAAAGTATTAGACTTGCTTGCTTCATTTTCCCTGAATTTTTCAACTTTTACAAAAATTATGGATGACTGTTTCCGAGGGAAGTGAATGTATCTTTATTACTTTGCGAAGGACTTTCTTTAGTACTTTAACGACTTACTTTTTACCGAAGCGTCGGTGGTTCTGCATTTTACACCGGTTCTAGAAAAATTCATCTCCCACAAACTCTCGCGCTGGTCTTTTTAAAAGCTTAAGCAGTCAGGTTAACAGTGGGTACTCCGTGTAGCTTTGTAGTACTTTGGCAGGGTGAAGAATTAAGTCGTAAAATTTTATAGCAGAAGCTTTTTTCGCATTGATACTCAGGGCGGAGGATATGGTTTGTTGTGTAATTACGGCCAAGTCAAAGTAGTGATTTGATCAATGGTTTAAATGTCTAATAAAATGAATTTGAGCTGGAGTACGGTGTACAGGAGCGAGTATAAGTTGACTCGAATTGACCGCCTATTCTCTAGAGGAAATAACTTTTGAATCATGAAACTTAAAAAAATGTCTGAAAAATGGGAACTTTGAGATTTTTTGAATTCTTACGCTTTTTAATTTTCTACCTGTACTTATCAAAAAGTCCTCCACTTGTCTGAAATGATCTTGAAACATGAAAACATTTGCCAAAGACGTGAGAAGAGGAAAAGTTGTAAAAAATTACGGTTCGAACTTTGCTATGTATTGGCGACTGCTTGAAGTGGTGAAGCTCCAAAATCTCTGTAAAGTGAGCAAGAAAGCAGGCATGCAGGCCTAACGCTATGGAAAACTTACTATTTTTTAATCGCATCTAACGATTTTATTGTAACCCTAGAATTATTAATTGGCTTTAAGCAAAAAATTTTACAGGTTTCAAGGAGAGAGCGATTTCCTCCAGAAGTTTTCTTTCGGATTAGATTTTTTGTAGAACAAATGATCCCTTTAATTGTGCTAAAACATCGAGACATACCTCAAGAAACTCGAGTTGCTAACACCGCGATCGGTTATTTTTTCAGGGTTTGCTTTAATGACTCCTATATTTTTTTCTGTAGATGTGTATGTTTAACAGCCTTTTTCTAAAAAGCTCTATCTGAAATGTGACAGTGTCGCGTTGTTTATACACTTTTGCCATCGCTTGTTTATTTATTTAGTGCTGTTTGAGCTTTTTGGATCGTGGCTCAGTGTTTTCCTGGGTGCACTATGTGGTTACGAAGTTTGATGAAACGGAATCTCGGGTATTTTTTTATTACTATTATTGGATAATAAGTTTGGAAAAATTTATATTTTGCAAATGTAGTTATTAAAAGATTTATTCAGTCAGTTGCAGAACTGGCGAGGCAAAGGATTTTTTTATAAAGTTGTTAAAATCTCTTTTCAGTAATTTCTTACAGCATCTTCGTGAATACAAGTTAGATTTGCTACAAATCCTGGGTGGCCATGAGCACTGGATACCACTCGCACTTCCGCTTCTTTGTGATTCTTCGGGAGAAATTATGAAGAAGGATGCTATTATGGCTGACCGCAATGTTTCAGGTAAGTCTCTGACTCAGTCAGCTATACCATCTTGCAACGGATCAGTAACACTGTTTTTTCAAAAAAGAAAACTAGAAGCTTTCTCTAACATCCAGCAAAAGAAGACGAAAACAGCGATAACGTGTGAAGTAAATAATGTGAACAACGGAATAATTGATAATATCTTCAAAGTAAAAATTTGGTAGTTTCAAGCAACATTAGATCAAAATAAATTTTAGCAGGATCTATGAATGCCGGCGGTAGTTTCATAGCTAATCTCTTTGCAAAAGTGTTTTCACTTAGTTTTAACGAGGAGCAGCCAGCTGAAAGCAACCCTTGTATGTTTTTAAATAAAGTATTATTCACCTACTTGAATTTGCTGTTAAAACAGTTTTAGGTTCCGAGAACTACATGTTTTTCTCTACTATCTTTTCGCTGAATTACTTAAATGTTCTTTTAAATAAATAATTGTATAGTTATTTGTGCACTTTATTTTCTTTTTACTTTTCGGTATAGTTCTATATATTATAAATATTCATTTCTGATTATACAGACTCGAGATATGCAGAGGAGTTTACTTTAACAGAAGGGTATTGTGCACGACACTTTCTTGTTGGTTTACTACTGCAAGAACTGCAGTGCTCGTTTCGGGAGCCTCGAGATTATCGCAGAAGGACTATAATGCTCGTTCGTAATCTTCTTGCGAAGCATTCAGTTGACAAACGTTATTTGGATTCGGTATTGTCTTAAAGTTTTTGTATAATTCAAGGGTTTCGTAGTTGAATAGTATTTATTTTTTTAGTTTTTTTTTGTAAATTTAGAAATTTTGTTTAGTAATGCAGCACAGCTAACTCAAATTATTTACTTTTTTTTGAACTGTAATAACTTTCCTGCCTTTTAGTTTTTAAAATTTATGCTTTTTATTAACTTATTGAATTGACCACTGAATATAGTTTATTTAGAACATAATTTTTAGCGTGCGCAAGTTCGGATTGCAACTTTGTATCTACCACTGCTTCGTCTTGTACTGGATTATTTAGGGGAAATGGAAGTTTCTCTTAAGACCCAAGATTCAAGCGAGCAAACGGTTGCTTCACCGGCTCCTGTTGCTTCTTCTTCGGCAATACCGGCTATTCAATCTGGTTCTAGCTTTTGTTCTATTGATAATTATGTAGATTCATTGACAAAACCACTGAGTAAGAAAAGCAAACAATTTTTACAGTCACAGGCTTTAAACAAATTCTATGCTTTCTTTTCAGGTGGATCTTTGCGACCAAAAAGAGCTAGTTCGTTGGAACGTATTCCGCGGTTAGCTGTAGGACCTGGTACAGAGGTGGTGCGAACAGCATCTCCTACTGTTCCAGGGCCAGGCGGCCAACAGCAAGCTATAGGATTTTCTGAGAAATTAGACTGGGTATTTTATGATTTGTTAACCTGTAACAGTCGACTATTCCGACGTGAACTGTCCGAAATTGTTTACCTCAGTGTTTTTTCTTTCGACTGGGTTTTAATTGCAGAGCGAGTCTCGCGATTTGTTGTTGTGTACTATGTACATTCTGCATAAAGTTCCGCAAAAAGTATTTGAAGCTGTTTTAAAAGAAACTGAAACTGCCGGTACTGGTGGAATGATGGATTTCATACGTTTACTGGAGCTTACCTTAGAATTTTTCAAGTACAGAGGGTTGAAATTCACTCTGTACAGAACATCTGGAAGGTCAGTTTTTTTTATCATTTCTCTTTAGTAAGCTTTTAAAAATGTCAGATTTTTAGGATTCGCTTCACTAAGAGGTCGATGCACGTAATTGTTCCCAGTGTTCCAGGGGGTCCTCCATCTGTTAGTGGGGTAAGCACGGCCGAGAGCCAGATATCAAGTCAGGGATCATCATCTAGTGGTGTTTCTTCCATTGGTAATGAATTTCTTTTTATAGTAAATATGATGTTTACAGGATTTAATGTGCTTCTAGCTTTTGATTAAATACGAAAGTATTATGAATGGTATAAGGCAATGCTTTTGTAATTATGAATTTTTTCGTTTTTTCCAAATTTTAAATAAAAGTCGCTCCTCCCATTAATTTACCATGGTAGAATTTACAGAATTTTGTGTACATTCTGTTCATTTTTATTTTGTTAAGCGTAGTCTTAGACAAGGTTTTAACGTTTTTCTCATTACTTAATTTATTTTTTCTATGACTGTCTCCCAAACTTTACTGACAGACTGGTAAAAAAGTAGGTTTAAAACTTAAGAATAATATAGAAAAAAATTGTTTTGCGGTCGACATCTGTTGATTAGTTCAGCATTTTTTTTAAAGATTTTTTTGGAGATTTTTTTCTTTATTACCTATAAATAGTTGGTTCTGATATTTTTCGCTTCTTCTAACAGCCGTTGAATTTTTTCAAAAAACTTTAGTAGGAATATAAACAGGTGTTGAATTTATTATTTTCTTCTGCAGCGAACTTGTCGACTATGCTATTTAAGCATTAGCAGTTGAGGTAGTCCTACGTAAAAATTATACTTGCATTTGCGCGTTGACTTTTGTTGTAGAGATTTCTCTGTAGACAAAAGATCAATTTTTGCTTGCAATAAAATCAATTGTCAGATTGGTTGCTAAGCTCTTATCTCTTTTGAACCGCTGTACACAGTTCCTGATTGGTTTAAAGTGCTAGTAATTTGAAAATAAGAAATTTAAATTGCGTTTAATATTCGTTAAAATTATATTACTGGCAAATTAAACGTTCTGTTCCTTTAACTCGCTTTTTTTCTGTACATCTTAATTACGTTATTAACTTGCAGTTCCGGCAGCACCAGTTTTGAATTTGGATGAAGAGGAATCACTGCCTTTTAGTGTTTTACAAGAATCTAATCTGACCCAAGAAATCGCTTTAAGAGTTTTGGATATTATTCAGATACTTGGCCAGTATTTTAATGTAAGTTCAATGTTTATGAAAAGCACTACTTTTTTTACTTAACTAAATGACTGTGCAGGAGGGTGAACTCGTTATCTACAGCAGTTTTTCTGTTGTAGGCTCAAAAGAAAGCAGGCGGTGAAGATGAGGATCAAATATTTTTGAAGCTACTTCGTTTGGAAGTTACATTGTTGGGGGAAAATTGGCCGGATGCTGTAAGATTGCATACAATAGCGTCTCTCGCCATATTTATTAATATGGTAGTTGTTACATCCAACAACGCTTGAATTGCCCAATATGAATAGTGTTATTAATTATGTACTTTACTTTTAGTTCCGCAATCGGTTTTTCAAAACTGGGCCATTGGAAGGATTATCAGTGTTAGTTGAAGCGTTGCTTCTTCAACTGAATAGTCGATTAATTTCCATTCAATGTGCTGCTGCAGCTTTGTTACATCTTGTATTACGGAATGGTTACGAGTATCAACTTCAGTCTGGGAAAATTGGTTTGATTTTGCTAAGATGGCTTGAAAAATTACCAGTGAACTGTGTTTTAATTTGTTTTTATCTTACGTTAAACTTTTATCTTACAAATTTGTATAACTGGTTTCTTCTGTACCAAATCAGTGACTCAAAATACTTTTTTAAGATTCGTCTCAAACCAGCAAACAGGTAACCTCACCTGCTAAAGGTAAGCGGCGTTTGCCAAAACGAGAATCTGTTCTTCGTACTGTAGAATGTCTTGGTCGCCCTGGCTCTCAGACTGGTGTAGCACTTGCCAGGTATGTTTATCAAGTGGAAAGCGAACGTTGTTATAAATGAAGACAAAAAAAGCATTTCAAGCACTTTCTAGTTTGTTTCTTTTACTGTTTATTGCCACAAAGAAAGTTGCAGGATTTTGGGACAAAAAGCGTCTCTTGCTGGAAGCCATAGGTTGGAACGGGGGCTTTCGGTGCTGGAATCTTTTGTTGGTGGTATTACCTCTTCAAATCAATCAGCTGCATTCGACCAAGCCGTCACTGTAATTTATAAGGCTTTTTGCTATTTTTGAAAGTGTACATTTTTTGGGTTTCTCGCCTCGTCAGGACTTGTGTAAAACTTTTTAAATATAAATCACTTTCTTTTACAGAGACATGCCCTTGTAGACTTGAGTATACAGTAAATCTCTGCATTGACTTCTAGGACTTTTTGCTTTAATTCTCCGCTTTAGTTTGAATGATTTTTAGCAGTTTTGAAGTTTTTGAAATAATTAGATTTGTGATTTTGATTCTGGTTTAGGAACGTTACAAATTACCATTTTCTACGTACTAGTTATTTAATTAAATTTCCAAATGGCAGCTACCTGATATTTCATACGCAGTTGTATTTCCATATTTCGTATCTTTTACTGTTGATCTGAAAAGAGAAGTTTCTGTTATACTTAGTAAGTAAATGGTGTTGTAACACCTGTTGGGGTAAAAGGGGTTTAAGTTTATTATTTTTTGGCGAAATTTCTGATTCTTATCCTGCAATTGTTACTGGGTAAGAGTGGAGGTAATTTATTTACATAAGAAACCTTGCTTGTAATGGTTAATTGGGAAGCCTGCTACATTAAAGTTGCGTAAACTAAGCTTTGCAAAATATGTTTTTTAATTACTCAGTAATTATGCATAATTTAAAATTTTGTTACCCATTATCAAGAAAGTGAAACCAACGTTCAAAAATTTAGGAACTTATCTTCCAACTTCGTGGTGTGTTGGCGGCTACAGGTGCCCTTGCTGCGGCGGTTAACAATCCTGTATGCTGAGTCCTCTTCTCGTTTTGGACCTTCACTGCATTTTCAATCAACACTTTATAAGTTAACAAAGTGTTTCTTCTTAAAAAAAGAAATGTTTTCAGATCCGCGTTGCCGACTTACACATTCAGTTAGCTGACAGTTATCGTGGTTCGTCTGCTTTGCGGAGTGCTTGGTTTGACACTCTTGCTGAGACTCATATGCGTGATCGTTGGTTTTCTGAAGCGGCTGTGTGTGAATGTCATGTGTTAGCTATAATTGCTAAAGAGCTGGCACTTAGTGGTACGCATTTAACTGTTTCCAATTTTAATAGCTACACTGTAGCGCTATTCCAGATAATTTGTAATTATTTTATCCTTCAAAGTATAGAGGATAATTCTAGAAAACTCACTAGGGGCGGATAGCTAGGCTAATATGCGGCTAACATTTCTTCTTTTTCACTATTCAAGAATCATTTTAGATTAATAGAAGTTATTTTTGGAAAAAAAATGGGGAGAAAGAAAGGAACAAAACGGAAACAAATGACTGATGGAAGACAAGAAGTGATATTAATAATTTGATAAGTTAGGGTATTCATGCTCTCTAGAGGAGTGAGAGTGTAGGAGGTAAGGTAGAGCGCTTAAAGGGGGGTAAATTTGAAAAAAGTTACGAAGAAACGGTAATTGTTAGTGAATGAATTCTAGACACGGTAAAATGAGTTGGCACTATGTGTCCTTATCAATTCTGAAGTAACAGACTGCAAAATTTTCATTATCAATTTTCGTTGTCTGATTTGATTTAAAAATCGTAAGATGCAGCTGAGTATTTTTAGGAATAGTAAGTTTTGACTGGAATTTATTTTCGTCAGTAAATGACTCGGTTTGCAAAGAAGAAAACGTCTTTTCGAATGAAAGTGAGACTGTTGAAAAAGCTGGATTTACTATGGTATGTTTCTATATTTTTTGAAGAAATTAATTGCTTACAAAACATTTGCTTTTTTCTGATGTAACTTTGCTTATAGCGTAACTTTACTTCGAAAGTGGAAAAAACTATTCAAACTTTGCTTTTGGCAGAACGCTATGAAGCCATTGGTCCAATATGCAGACTAGCTATTCCTCTTTATGAAAAGTTGAAAGACTACAGAGTAAGGTTTCAGAAGAGACTCCTCTGTTTTTCATGCTGTTTTATTTTTTTCATGGTTCAGTATTTGTCTTCATGAAAAAGGTTTTTGAGTGAAAAGTCGTTCACTATTATTGGCATTCTCTTGTGCAGCAAAAACTTACTCAAAGAAATCCAGTTTTTCCTTTTCATATCTCATATGTGATCGAAGGGAAACAAAGATTTTTAGGCGCTTGTGAGTATGTACGTGGAGCTGCAACAGGCGTATAGTTTGGCTGATCAAGTCAAGATTACAGGGAAGAGACATTTGGGAGCATATTTTCGCGTCTTCTTTTATAACGCGACTCTCTTCGGGTAAGAAGAGATTTACTAAGTGGCGATTAAGTTGTTTCCTGAAAAACTTTGTCCCACGTTTTAAGTTGTTTAAAAAATATTTATTTAGTGAAGAGCATAAAACGGAGTGGATATATAGAGAACCCGGTCTAACATCTTTGGCTGAAGCTTATGAACGTATGACCAATGCTTGCCAGCTAGCTTTAGGGCATGAGAAAGTGCAGATTGTTCCTGAAAAAGAAGTCTGTTTTTCTAGTAACATTTTTCAGTCAGTAAAATATTTTTAAAATCTGTTTTAGTTAGACGAATCCAAACTAGATAAAGGCGTCGCATACGTGCAGATGACTCATGTCGAACCCGCAGTGGGAGATTGTTCCGATAAAACAAGCTTTGATGCTCACACAAATCTTAGAAGATTTATTTACGAGTGCAATGATGTTGATAAGACTGTTCCTGCTGACGCCCCTACCCTAGCACGGCAAGCCCTTAAGAAAATTTACTTGACAAGTAAGTTTGAAGCTGCTTTTCTGCAAACAAAAATGAGTGTGTTTTTTCTTTTGTTATTTTTATTCGTATTTGCCATGTTGATATGACAGCTGTTGTTCCATTTAGTTTTTTCATAGCAAGAGCGTTGCAGAGGTAATTAGCTTTGAATTCTTCATGTAAATCTTAGAAGTACTACTAGAAGCGTTGCTCAATGATTTACTGCGTAGCTGAGGAACGAATTGCTCGTAATTTTAGTGTTGTTGAGAATATTTCCTTGAGAGTTGCATGTTGAATGGAGAGGTATTCTAATATTGTTATAAAATTTTTCTGTAATGCTTGAATCATGAAGTTTTAAAAAATTGAGGCATTATCAAACACGCAGCTTCTACAGAATGTAAATACAGCACATCTAACTTAACTGGGGAATTTTGGATGCATTAAAATTCTTAATATTATTGGTAGTTCCTTTGAAATATGGATGACTTCCTTGATCAGTATTCATTTTGCTCATTTGATTTGGTTGAAAAGACCACTTTATCCCCTTTCAGCCCTCGCGCCTTTTCCGAACACCTGCCGCCGGCAACGTGTTGTTTCGAGAGAGGAATTGTTTATGAATCCACTTGAATTAGCGGTTGATAAACTGACATTCAAAGCAGACCAAATCAAAAAAATCATTGAGCAAGCTGCTCAATGTGATGGCACAAAAAAATCTTTACTGGCTCGACTTGATGTCAAGGGTCTTCAGCTGCTTCTTCAGGGCGCTGTCCAGCCGACGGTATCTTTTTCTACACTTTGTTCGTGTTAAGGTATTCATGTATATGGCTCAATTAAAACGTTGAGTGTTGGCCATTGGTGCCAAAATTTTGCAGCTCTGTCAGTATCGCCTTGGTCCCTCAATCACTTTTTAATTTTTAGGTCAACGTTGGACCTTTAGCATATGCAGAGGCGTTTACGGCACCCGCACAAGTGGAGAGGTACGGTCAAGAAGGCGTAAAAAGACTTAGTGACGCTTTCAGGTAGGTCCATTGAAAACTTGTACCAGAACGAACCAACAGTTCTGCCACTCACAAATTCCGACACAAATCACTGTAATATCATTGATTAAGAACTACTCCTTATTTCAAAGTAATTATTATTTTTAAGGAAACTAATGTCTGTGTGCGCTGATGCTCTGCAAATTAATGAGGTAGCTATAGGCAGTGATCAGGCAGAATATCAGCAGATGTTAAAGAACGGCTTTGTTGCAATGATGGAAAGATTAAACTCCTACTTTGGTGATTCGGTAAGCTTTGATTTCTCCAACCCTAACGGTTTTTAGAAAAAACTCAGCAACATATTATAGTCTTTGCTGTTAAGAGCCTCAGAGCTAAAAGTCTTTAACATTCTTAAGAAATAACCTTAACGAACATCTTAAGATGCCACTGTCAAGTCCAAACCATCCACCGACTACCGATAGGTCATCAAATAACCCTCGAAAATCAATGTTTATTCTAGATAGCATTGGCGGGCTGAATGCATGACTACCTCATTTGTTAGAAAGCTAATTTTAAACTTATGTATTCTTGATTTATGAATATAAATTGACCGACTCATTGGTGTGCAGCCAATGAAATGATTGTTTTTTGATGCTCCTTCAGTGGCCGAAGTCAGCATTCTAAATTTTTTGGATTTAATAGTCTTACGGCAGAATTCATGTTATTAATAATGTTGATATTCAGTTGCCGCAGGCGGTACTCCACTTTGTTAGTTGCTAGTCACATTAGTTTTTTTGTTTTTGCAGTTCCCATTCTGGAACACAAATGCCTCAGAAGTTTTAGTCCTACAAACACATCTGATTTCATTTCTCGTGCGGGTTTACTTTTCCTGTTCCTCCTTAGAATTTTATGTAAGGGTGGTGTGCAACAGTACACATCATTCGACTGTGAATACCTGCAAAGATGCTAATTTTGTTATGTGCAGTATTATTAAATGGGAATTATTCTCACTTTCTCTTGCTCTCGTTCTAACTTGTACTCTTGTTTGTAAATGTATTTAAAAGGAAGAGCCTATGGGGGCTTCAAATCAAACTTCCAAGAAGGCAGGAAGATGGGTAATTTTTATTTATGCCGAGGTCTCAACACTTCAGATGTATATCGATTCCCCAGATTTTTGTGATCCAGATTCGATAGTGGCTGAGTCTTGCTTTGTATTTTTCTTAAATATTGTAATAAAAAACTACCTAAATTGTCACGACCTGACAAGGGTAGCAGAATACGTGTTCTTTTGACTTCAACAGGAACTGCTTCGAAGCACTAATGACAAATTACGTCCTGCAAGTACATTCCTCAACAAATCTTATTGTTAAACAACAAAAAGGAACAATACAAGCCGATCAGTAAAGTCTGGAAAAAAAGTACACAGCAACCAGGAACTAATTAGACGTAGCCACCCGCATCAGCTGAAATCATAAGAAATGATCTAAAGTCCGGCCCACCCTTCCGGACCACAACTTTAGCACAATACAATGTTGGGTTGCTAACCCAACTGTGTATTAAAAGTTCGCTCTTGATCTGAAGACAAGTAATTGAAGCTTCTTTTGGACAATAAAAAGTGAAAGACCAATTCGTAAAAACAATAAATAAATAACGATCACGGGGGATCAATTTATCTATTTCATGTTTTCCCACCAAAATTGTAGCCGCTGGAGCAGTTCTGTTCTGTGTTCCACAAAATACAGAATATTGCTTCCCAACGAATAAAGCATTTCGGTGCCTTTTTCTGAAATAATACAAATTGTTCTCTCCTCTTCTCACGCGTTCTCGAGCTTTTATATTCCTGCTGCATCTCGGGCTTCCTCAGAGTACTACTTACTCTGAGAAAACCAAGGTGACAAACAAACTACAAGAGGATTAATAAAAGAATACTACTTACCGAAAGCAAAGGCAACCAGGTCAGAAATGATAGCGCCAATCATTTTCATAGCAATCACCAGGTTGTCAAGTGCGTCGCTAACATACAGTGACATATTTTCGTCGTACCAAACGAGACCAACTTCATACTGTAATGACAACAGCCACTGTTGATAAAAAGTGCCAGCAACTGAGCAAATTTTAGCCGTCCCAACTTTAGTCAAACTATTGAGCAGCAGGCAGAGTTAGGCTGCGGTAACCAGCACGAACTTTTTCCTCACTGCTTTTAGAAATAATGCCAAATTCTACCACTTCTTAACGAACAAATTTCTTTAAAAAAAATACGACCGCTTTAATGCCCTGCTAACCAATGCAACCACCTTTATAAACCAGTTTTTTAGCGACCTTAATTGCAAAGTCTGAACGTACCCAAAATTGTCTATGACAGCTAATAAAAAGGAATAGAGCCGTGAAAACCCTCAAGATAGCAGAAATAAATGTAAAAGCACGAACTGACATGCAAGAGTAACCTTGACCATTTCGAAATGCAGTGCAAACAACAGTTAATTTACTGAGGGTACACTTATTCGACGGTTTGTCGAAACAGAAATTCCTTCCGACTCTTCGCAACACTGCCTTCTTTTCATGGTAACATTATACTCTATAGGACTATATGGCACAACTTTTGCTAAACACGTACGACTATAGTCTACATCCCTGGGAGGCTTTCACCAGCTTTCTTCGCAGAACACTGATCGTCTTCCCTGACTACCGCCCAAATCCTATCGTACATCATAAGGATTTTTAAAGGCAAAAATTTCCAATCAAAACAACGATTATTTTGGCCAAGGAAAATATTTTTATCACTTAATCCATATTAAATTAATGTGAAACACTGAAACACTTTTGTGCGGTCTTCAGCTTCCAGCTTTTTCAGTAAAGTCGTTAACTGTCAAGTACAGACGACTAACCAGAAAGGGGATTTGTAATTTGACAGTTTTGATCCAAAGTCCACAGATTCTTATTGAAATTTCTCATTTAAGGCAGCTTTCAGCTAATCTGTACATCACTACAAACTTTAGTAAAATTAAATAGGCAAGTAGCAAGAGACTATGACACAACAGTTTAAGTAAGAAATAATGAGCTATGGTGATGCAAGACTAATAAGCTTAC